TAACTGACTGACTGTTGACAGGTGATCGAGTGTTGATGAAGTGTCACCGGAGGTGTCGATTAAGGTTTTCAATAAAGGGTATTGATCGACACTCAACCGCAGATGCATTTAGTACACATGATCCCTTTTCTTTTTAACATTTGACACATTTTTTTGTGACTGAATTGGCAAAGCTCTATTTCAACATTTTTTTAGGGTAGAGAAGACAAACATAATCTCTCAGTTTTCAATTTTTTTCAGGTTCGCATCTCTACAAATTATCTTCTTTAGTTGGTCATTTCCCACACTCTTATCACCAATCTGAATGACAATGTATACCATGTCATCTAGAAAATAGAGCCAATCAGAATGGGTGTTGTATATTTAACAAAGAGATTCCATGTTGCCATGCGTCTGTTCAGTAATAGATCACAGATGACGTCAAAATGTGGTAAGAACAAATAAGTGGCACAGGAGGTGATAGCCAAGTGTGTCACTGATGTGACATAAACATTTTGCTTATTGGTTTTGTTAAATTCGAGACAAAGCAATGGTTTCTTACCTTAAAGTAATTTCAAGAACAATTTTGGGTTTGGTTTAGTGCCGACTGAGACTGCTCGAGTATTTTTTCCGAGTCATTTTCTAGAAAAGACACGGCTTTTTCTTTCTTCTTCCAGACTCTCATACCTGTTCAGTGCCTCGACAAGACTTTTTTGTACTTTATCTTTCCCCAGTCATGTAAAATAGTATCTAAATTCTCAAAACTTTCCACCATTTTAAACACAGATGGAAAAACTTTGAAATGATGGCGTCAGTCGTGCATCTGCCCTCTAATAGATCATAGGTGAGAACCAATCAAAATGCGAGAATAACTTAGGTTATTGTATAATTCACCATATTACATTCAACCTTCCCATCATGCACCATGCGTATGTGGCATTGATTGTGTTGGCCAGTGTATTATCTATGTCATGGTATAAAATAGTTATGCAACGCTCTCTCGTGGTATACCATGGAATAACTCACTCATCACTTGTACTTTCTTGGTATTCACACTCAACTAAAGACTCTTGTATATACTGAGAAAATACAAGTGATATGTGTGATATATGTTCCACAGTATTTCACTCGAAGCAATGCACAACTAGTATATATAGCCAACAGAAGGAGAAACAAGATATTGATTGCACTAGGTTGAGTTAATGACACCTGCCAATGACAAGTTACCTAAATACTGTACATATATGCATGACAAATACTGTATGGGAAAGCACCAATATATTTAAGTCTTTTGCGGCAATAATCCACTGATGTCAAATTAAAAATATTGCATCAGTCGGATAGGATGGATAATAATTGACATCAGTGTTAATAGCTTCGATCGCCTTCTAACAAACAATTAAAACCTCCCTTTCTTTGTCCAAATCGTTTAAAATGAAGGAATAATTTAAACATGAGCATCTTTTAACAACATGGATCCCTGCGGTTATGAAACAACAAGTCACGGAAATGTACGAAGGAGATAGCTTGACGTAGAATGAGCTAAACTTCTTTGAAGATTTTTCAACTAAAAATACCCTCAGGGTATTAGACTTCGAGTTTCGTACAAACAGCTGTACTAGACAAGAATGCATGTTGTACAAATTTCGGTCCTGAAATCTTGGCTTCGCTTACCCTATTCTGCATTCCCGCAGCCAAGTGATATATAGCAAACTAATAGTCACACAAAATAGAAAAGTTCTTATGCTTTCACTTACCTCGGAATTGTCCTCAAATCCCCTGATAACTCGAGCTCGCGACCACTGTCAGCTCCCAAAATCGGTGTCCACCACACTTCCATGAGCTTTTCGGGTCCCTCGAAAAATCCCGCGCTTTCCATTTCCCGAATACATGCGACAGATGACTTAAGCTATCAGGCATAAACAGCTGAAATATTAGAAATTCGAATAAGGGCTAAAGAACCAAACAAACACAAGAAATTCCCTTCTCCGTGAAATAAATCAGGCTTAGACAGGCTCAATGAAAATTAACTCATTGAATCATCAGTTACAACGAGAACCACGAGGTGATAACAGGGCTGAATAACGTCTGCACATGTGCGAGATCTCATGGCTCGCGCTGCCGCGAACGGCCTGGGCACCATAACAAAACCTCGAAAAAATGGCGGCGTTTTCAAAAAGTTTCGTATAACGCCCGGTTTATGGTGAAAAAGTAGAGCCAAACTAAAAACGGTAGAAAGAAATCTTTACAGTAGTTTCCTCGACCATTGGCCGACACATACCTTTTTGTACACAGGGGTTTAAAGTTTGTACAATTGGTGAAAACAG